GTTATACTTCGGCAGAAAATTTGTCTGCATTTTGCTCATGTCCGGAGACTTTTCAGGAGACTGAGATTAAGTGTGGCAGACTAATTAATCTGGAAGAAGAAATTTCAAGGCAGTCTAATGTTGAGGTAGTAGCATGGCTACTATTTTATTCAGATCTTGAGAATCAACAGCAAACAACCCAGCATAATGATTTTAAAAAGAGACAGTAAAGTTGTGGCTTATAAAGATAGAAGAGAAGACATTTTGGTTTCTGAAAAGATTAGCAAAAAAAAGCCAAGTATTTCAGAAGAGGACAATAGAAAACATGGCCTGAAGACATAAGAACCAGCAGTACTCTGCCTTTTGCAGCCTCAAAATTGCCAAAGTGAAAGATTGCTTTGAGAAGAGAGCCTTAGGGCACCATATTCTAGAATGGTGGGGGCCTAGGAAAAATTTTTTTTGTTCTAGATTGGGTTCATAGTGCTGAGCAATCTAGGCACTTGGCTCCTGCAGCCAAGAGAGAAGGAAGTCTGGCTACTGCTCCAGCTGGCAAGCAGATCTTGGCATCATCCAAGGGGTGCTGGTTTCATGCAAATGCAGAATGCAAGAACTGTGGGGTCAGGAAGGCTTTCACCCAGATTTCTGAAGAACATCTGGGAGGCCAGGCAGTGTGCCCCTGAGAAAGCAGTGTGTCAAGCTGTGAGTGTGAAGCCGAAGGGCAGTGGAGCTCCCAGAAGGTTGGAGGCCCCCAGAACCTCATTCCAGAAGGAACATGGGTCATCTGAGGAAAGTCAAAAGGAGTGAGCAAAGCTGGTCCAAGAGAGAAGCCATGAGGACTATAACCAGTGGCAGTGCCCCAGGGGCAGGCCTACCCAAGCCCTTTGGTCTCTATATCTTACCACAAATTGCCCCAGATGATGGACATGAAATTAAGGGACTTAATGTTTCCCCTGCTGGATACTGGTCTTGCTTCGGTCTCGTTCCTTTCTATTCCTCTACTTTGAATGGCGATGTTTATCTTGTGCCATTGTAAGTTGGAAATGTTTAGCTTTCTTTTCATTTGTACAGGGGCTTGCAGCTAAGAGTTTAGCTTTCAGTCTCAGAGGAGAATTTGGATTTGGACTTTTCAGCAATGCTGGAACAGTTAGGGCTTCATCAACTTTTAGAGGTGGACTAAATGCCTTTTGCATAAAGGATCTGTGTGGATCTTTTGGGGATGAGGGGCAGAATGTATGGCTTGTGTTTAGATGTCCCTCAAGGCCTCATGCACTCAGAGGTGGGGCTTTTCAGAGGTGGCTGGATCTAGGGTGTGTGTGAATATGGATTATGTGTGCATGCTAATTGGATTAGTCCACTGATTAGATTAGCACAGTTCTGGGTGTGACCAAATGGATTTACTGAAGACTAAAGACCCACTTTGGTGGGTGAATGATATAAAAAGGGGAAAGGCTTGCTTCTTGCTTCTTCCTCTTGCTTGCTATGCCATGAACTATTTCTTGTCTGTGATGCCCTTCTGCCATGCTGCCCTGCCTTGGAGCCAGCTGATTATGGACTGAAACCTCTACAAACTGTGAGCTAAGATAAGCCTTTCCTCCTTAACTTGTATCAGGTATTTTATTCCAGCAAAGAAAAAGTAACTAAGACATGAGATGCACATGCCTACAATAGGAGGACAGGTGATGCATACGTCTACAATACAGAGGACAGGGAATGTGTAGGCCTTCAATAGAGGGGAGTGGGGATGCTTATGGTGAAGTAGAGAGGACAGTGGTTCAGATGCCCAGGACCTTCATCCCGGACTGCGAAGAACAGATACTCTTTACAAATTACCCCATCTATGGTGTTCTGTGATGGCAGAACAAAACAGACTAAGACACTGGCCTTAATGAATTAATTATACAGTTGACAAGGAAATGCAACTATTTAAAATAAACCAAAAATCAAAATAGGACTAAGTTAGGGAACGAATCCAACAGGTGAAGTAGCTGAACTCCAATACTGAATTGCTGTAAACATATCTGCAAAACACAGTTAAGTGTATGAGTAAAAATTAAATGGTGCTGGTTGTGGTGGCACACACCTGTCACCCAAGCTACTTGGGAGGCTGAGGCAGGAGGATCACAGGTTTGAGGCCAGCCCAGACAACCTAGTAAGACTCTTGCTAAGGCCTGGGGCTGTTGCTCAATAGCAGAGTGCTTGTCTGCCCTGTGTGAGGTCCTGGGTTTAATCCCCAGTACTAAAATAATTACATAGTGTGTAGGCCATGGAGCACTGTTCAGGAAGGACAGTGTGATCGCACAGCAGCATGGACACCCTGAGAACTCTGTGCCCAAGGAAAGCAGCCAGTCTCAGAGG